ACGTGCCATGCTGTGATGACAAACGAAGCGATTGGCATGAACTTAAATAACACCTGCACTGCAAAGTTCTCTTTCTGTGAGCAACCATTTGGAAAATTAGTGCGTGACGTACCAACTCGAACTGGTGCAATTTATCTAGAATATCTTTTTTTCTTCGTAGCATAGCATAGTTGTTTGAGGCACTATTATACAAGCTGGAAGGTCGCGGGAATGTATCCCGATTAGTTGGATATTTTCAATCTACCTAATCCTTCCAGCCGCACTATGGCCCTGGAGTCGACTCAGCCTCTAACAGAAATGAGTTCCAGGAATATTCCTGGGGGTAAATGGCAGCCGGCGCGTAAGCCTGACAACTTTAACGCCATTTGTGAGTCGATTATCTACAAAATGTGGGGTCCTCAACATCTCACAACCCTATGGGCCTCCACGGCCTGTTATGGGGATACATTTATCTTTTATTACAAGTTAAAATTTAATATAACAGTTATACAGGATGAGTTTTGAAAGAGAATTCAGTGTTATGAAAATCGATAACGTTCTGTGTTAAAGGGCTATGATCACTCTGGCGAATGATTCCTAACTTTGGGATCTTGTTTCAAGAATCGTCCTGTATATCCATTCCTAACGAACCACCATATACTCATATATTTAATTTTACTCCTGGTCGTTTTAATTCATCGGCTGTTCTCAACACGTAAAAAAGTCTTGCGGCCGCCATGTTTTTCTCCTCCTTTTTTCGAAGAAATGGAGCCAGCACATTCGTCGTTGGTTTCAAGTCCTGTTGGGAACATATTTTAGTTCAGTATCACTGACATTTGCAGTTCAAGAGTGTGAATTCTCTTTGAAGAGAAGAAAGACTTGTCACTGCAGAGAGCAGCATAACGAAAAACATATTTTGTTGCACATTAATGTATGAAGGTCACACTATTATCTGCGCAGCCTTCACAGTACACTCAGCAACCCTTTGTCAGCGCAGTTCCGAGCAGCAGGGCATGCCTTAGCTTATTCGGTCTAATTGAAGGGCACCTGACGTGACTCGAGAGATAATCGGAAATACATTAGCAAAATGTTTGAAATACTCGAAAAAGTTTTGAGAATAGCTCGCATTACTGTCAAAGAATGGTATAATAAAAACTGAAAAATTTAGCAAATTTATCAACTCAGAAAATTGAAAATATTCCGAATATATTCGAAGATATAAAATCCTGTTTCAGTGTTCGAATGAGATGTTTGCGAAAGTATGAACTCCTGAAAAGTAAAGGTACTTAGGAAAATATAGGGCCGCGCCACAGCTCAAGCGGTTAGTCGCTGGCTTCCCATTGCGGCGGCCCGGGTTCGATCCCGGGTCTGGTCAAGTGGGATTTGTGGTGGGAAAAGTGGCACTGGGGCAGGTTTTCTCCGAGTACTTGGGTTTCCCCTGCCAATCTTAATTCCACCAATTGCTCCACAATCACCCTCACCTATCATCTGGGGCTGGTACAATAGGCCAGAAGTGGCCGCAGTACAAGGGACTTAGTCCCACCCCACTATGAATAAAATAAATAGGAAAATATAGACAATTCCAGATTCAAACTCCTTGGCTTTTAGTCCGCAAGCGAACTATACCGACCGAGCGACCGCCGCTTGTCAGCGAAGTTAGTGCCAGATTTTACGAATAGATGGCGTCGCGTGGTCAGCGCAACGGAATCCCACAGCCATTAATCTCGGTTTTCTAGACCGGAACCGTTATTTCATTGAAATAGCTCCTCAGCTATCCTCACGAGGTTGAGTGGACCCTGTTCCAGTTCGCTGATGTTTAAATTGAAATAGTATGAAGACCGAAATTTTGCGGAACTATATATGATATGGGAGTACAAAACATCAATGTCCGTACTGAACGACAATATTACTGTCCCTACGTAAGAAGATTTCGCTGCCGTCTTCACAGTGTAGTAAAATTAAAGCGTACTACAACAGGGTAGCCTCAGTCACGGGTTCTTTGTAAGCATTTTCACGAAGATTTGTCAAGTGTTGGCCGTCATGTTAATGTCTAACACAAAATCACAAACGGAACAAGAGAAGCTCGTGACAAACAAAAAAGTATGATGTAAGTAAAGGAGGGAAGAAAGAAAGAAAAAATGAAACGTATTTCGCATGAATGGTATAATTTACATAAATGGAAAGTCACTGTCTTCTGTGTGGGAAGACAACTCATACCGATGCTTTGACTTCAAAGCAAATTTTTGTTCCCTGCAGCATGACTTTGCAGAATTTGGCACTGGGCAGTTACTGTCAAAGTTATGGCATTATTGCGCATCCGGAGATGACATCATCTTGAATAACAAATTGCCACAGGCAGGCCCTTCGTTTATATAGGAACTCGAGCCGCTGCCATGCCTTACTTAGGCACAGCGACTGCTCAAGCGCAGGCAGTATCCGCTCTCCCCACGTTCTACAAGGAAGGTAAGTAAAGTAAAAGTAAAGTAAAACTATTCCTGTGACAGGCCGTGGAGACCCATAGGGTTGTGAGACGTCGAGGTTCTCACATTTTCTAGACAATCGGCTCAGTGATTATGGTGAGGCTGTCAGCCCTTTACCTCCAGGAATATTCCTGGTGCTCCTTTCTGTTAGAGGCTGAGTCGAACCCAGGGCCATAATGCGGCTGAAAGGATTAGCTAAATTTAAAAAAATCACCTCATCGGGATTCGATTCCACGACCTTCCGGCTTGTAGCATAGTGCCTCATATTATGTCTGCCCAAATTTGTTTGTTTATTGTGCAGATATAAACATGAGGCAATTGCAGCATTTGAATCATTCTGAACCGCCTGCTTCTTACTTACGCGGGGACAGGACTGCTGCTTGTTCCATCAGTCCAACTAGAGTTTTTCTTTATAGAATAAATCCACTTGGTACGTCGAACATAGTTTGGCCTATTGTACCAGCCCCGTATGTTACACGATGATGAGTTTGGAGCAGTCGGTGGAATGAGAGTTGGCAGGGGAAACCGAAGTACTCGGAGAAAACCTGCCCCACTGTCATTTTGTCCAGCTGGTCACAGCGGCCGCTCGGTCTAAGGCATGAACTATTTTTACCCACTCGGACACCGGGATCGTGGTTTCGAATCACACTAAAGGCATGAATGTTTGGTGTGTGTGTTTATTTTGTGTTTGTGTATTCCTGTGTTTAGGTAGAGGCCTTGTGACGGGCTGATCACTCGCCCAAGGAGTCCTACCGTCTGTGAAAAATTATTACGGAACTTAATAAGGGGCCTGGGCCACGAATGGGCTGTAAGAGCCATTGAAAAAAGTGCCAATTTGTCCACCACAAATTCAACATGACCTGACTTTGGCTCGAAAGCGGTCCACCGCGTTGGGAAGCCAGTGACTAACCGCGTGAGCTATGGCAAGGCCTATCAGTCCAACTAGCTGTGCGTCTACAGGACAAGCTCCAAATATCAACAGTTTCGTTGGCATGGTGATCATGGTGATCGAGCTTTGGGCTTAAGTTAGACAAGGACATCACGTTCATCTCTTTCTGTCGGCATGAGTAACTTGCCAGTCGATTTCATTACAAAAAGACAGAATATTGCCACATTAAAAAGTTACACTTCAGTTCGATTAATCAGCGAAATAACTGCCAAGAAATAAAAAACGTTTACCAGTCCATAAGGAAACAATTAAAATTCTTATGACACCATAGCGACTAGGGAAATTATGAACTAACTCACCTAATAAATCTCTTTACATCAACTGACTGCATGACTTGGAAGTCATGTACAATTATGCAATAATTTTGTTCTTACGGCTAATGACAGACAAACAATATCGCGTTTGGTGGGTCCCTAGCTACCACGACTGACGTGTCTTCAAGTTACGGAAAGAGAAGATGACCTCCAGAAATCGAGGGTAATTCAGAATGCGGGGTTCTTAAATAAGCAGCTGTGGACCGTCTACAAATGTTAGTTCTTTGTTAAGGGGGGGGGGTTGCATTTGTTAGCAACTTTTCGTAAAAAAACAAGAGAAAGACTTGTAACGAAATGCTGCACAGGGCCTCAAAAATTATTTAGAGTGATGTAAGTAACTGAAAATATTCATGAGATTAGCGCCTGTAATGCTAGGAGTGTGTGCTGGACACGTTCAATAAAAAGCAATAACAAGATATCAAGGAAGTAGAACTTCGATCTTGTGGAAGTACAGGAGGTCAAATTGGACAAGGCTGGCACTGAATTGGTATGAGAAAAAATAAACAGTGTGCGAGGTATGGACTGGTTTCACCTGGTTGCGAATACGACCCATTTGTAGGCTTTCGTGAATATGGCTTCATGAACGGGGACCGCCTCTGTGGTCTAGTGGTCAGAGTTCCCGCCTACAGGTCCAGAGGTCCCGGGTTCGATTCCAGGCGCTACCAGATTATCTGAGAAGTAGTTTGTCTGGAACGTGGTCCACTCAACTTCGTGAGGATAATTGAGGAGCTATTTGAAGGAAATGGCGGCTCCGGTCTAGCAAACCGAGATTAATGGCTGTGGGAATCCGTTGCGCTGACCACGCGACAACCTCTATCCGCTAAAGTTGGCACTAACTTCGCCGACAAGCGGCGGTTACTCGGTCGGTATAGTTCGCTTGCGGACTGCAGGCCACGGAGTTTGTTTGTTTTTGTTTGGGGGCACTACTACATGGAATTAGCAATTTCCGAGCTCTCTTACATATCTTCCTTAGAGACCCGTACATTGATTAATAAAAAGATTTTCCTTATGTCGAAAGCCAGCATAATAAAAACTTCATTCATTTCAAGAGTCGGAAATGCAAGAGATGTTATCTTGTTTTGGAAAGCCGAGCGGAAGGACTACCCACGGGTCACGGTAAAACGTATTGTTTTGATGTCTGCAATTCCGGAGTCTTGTCTGTGTTCCCAGAACTATGTCGACCCCAAAGACTGCCCCATTCACCCCCACCCCCACTCCCCCACTCCCCCACTCCTCACTTCTTGACTCCCGAGTTCTGTTGAACTTTCCATACCGCGGCACAGGTAGACAGTGGTAAGCAGTGAACTGCAAGTGTTCGCGCAGAACTCAGACCTGCAGTCAGCACGTGAGTAGCTTTACACGTACTTTACGGACAAGACGGCGTCACACATGTCGTTAAAACAGCATCCCTGGGTCGTAACATGTTTGTTTCATAACCACTAACCACTTAAAATTTCAATACAATTAAATTACTACGATCTATGACAAAACTCTGTATGTGTGTGTAAACTTGTACGTCTGTTTTTCAATTACTGAACCATTTCGGCCTTAATCCGATAAGTTTCGACGGCCGTAAAATTGTGACAGTGGAGTCGTGACGCTGTGTCAACGTTGGTTCGGTTCATAGGTTATTTTAGGGCCTTGTACGAGCGGCAGATTTTATATAGTATCGAATGAGATGAGAGGAAGATTACGGATGTTGAACTGGGAAAGATGTGGAAGGAATCGGCTTCGTATCCCGATATATTCTGGGGCAAAGTAGCTGATCCTTCTGGTGCTGCATCGCGCAAGACAGGCTTGTTACTTACGGATTATCCCGTATGGTGTCTCTGTGATAGCTACACCATTTATACACCGACGAATGAGACGTGCAAGCGTGATTATCAGTGACTACATCCATGTAGAAGAAAGTGACTGTGGGTTATTCGATGAACGCCTCGGAGGGTCTGAGGAAAACGACGAGAAACCTCGGTCAGGTTGACGGATTTTCGTAAGGAACTGAAGTCTCCCAGGTATAGACAGAAGTGCCAGCCACTACACTGACATATTTCAGTTCAACTTCACATTGTCAGTTGCAGATATTATATACACAGATGGGGATCTCAGAAGGATATTGGACAGACTGGCAACAGCTAATTTTTGTTTATTAAAAGTATGCCGGCATTACGGTGTGACAGAGAAGGGGGATATGCAAAGAACTTCAGTCTCTGTGTATCGATTCGAGCTGGGTACCACTAAGTAAGAAGCAGGAGTGCTTTAATACAGCGTGACGTTCAGTGATGGCGGAAGAAAACGCCCACTGTTATACTGAGGAAAACACCAAAACCTTAAGCATAAAGCGGACCTAGGCAGCGCCATAGTTGAAGCAGTTAGTCGCTGGTATCCCACCGCGGCGGTCCGGGTTCGATCCCGGGTCTGGTCAAGTGGGATTTGTGGTGGACAAAGTTGCGCTGGGGCGGGTTTTCTCCGAGTACTTCGGTTTCCCCTGTCAATCTAGATTCCACCAAATTCTCCATCATCATAATCACCCGGGGCAGGCTACAATATGCCAATCAGTAGCCGCCGTGCCGAGTGGACCTAGTTGGGCTCTACCCCTTACTAAGCGAATTTTTTATTTAAGGCGGACCTACAAGTAATGAAATTGTGGTTCATTTAAAGAGGTTATGTAGTGACGAGTGCTCAGTGGCGGTTAATTATGACTCATCAGTCGGGAGGGATGCAGGGAAGAGGGGTCATTGTTTATTTGTAGGTAATTCACCTAAGGAGGTGAATATCTAGACGTGAGAAAGTGGAAGGAACAGGTTCATTGAGAGAATTATGTATTAAAGAGATTCATAATTTTTCTTACGTGAATATTGTTACCGTGCTCAAGTCAGGGTGAATGTGGTGGAAAGGACATATAGCACGCGTGGGATAGATGAGGAGTACACAAAACCGTAGTCCGAAAACATAAAGGGAATGGTGACATACACGTAACTGTGATTATAATCTTCAGATTGATCTTAAGGAAATAGGGGTGAGAGGGTTGGATGAGTTAGACCGACTGAAGGCCTATTGGTAGGTTATTATTAGCACAGTAATTATTCTTCTGGTTCCGCAAGAAGCGAGGAAATTATTTATCAGCTGCTCGCCTATCTTCTTCTCAACGAGGACTCTGTGTGTCAGTTTAAATCACGAACAGGACCAAAGCATTCTTTCCCAAGAGCAGAGTTCGAAGCAGGTCTTCTCGGGTACAAAGCAGTTGCGATAAATTTGACGTTACGGAACTGAGTCAAAATGCCTGGCCCTGTGATTTATTTCGGTACGTCGGCCTTAATGTATTTCGTTGCATAGGCAGTTTTCTCCGCAACGTATTTATTATAAACAGTGACAAGAGAATGTGGCACGAGCTGTCAAATTTTGTGATAACGCTATCCCCTAAAACTTGCAAATTAATTTAAATTAAATTTACGCCACCTCTTCTGTCTGCCAATCAGCTAAAGTACAGTTCTGCACAGCTTTACAGATCTGAATCAAGCTGTAGTGAGACGGCAGGAACGAACCCACGTACTTTACAACCTTACTGCATTCGCAGTAATTTTTTTATATAATATTTTCCTGTACAGTTACGAAAAAGCTCATGAAATATTTCGCCAGCTGCAGTTATATTTTCCGAAAGCACCTATATAAAATTTGGGAGCGGTGGGTTCGCGACCCACAGATTAAAAAGAAAATTAATTAATTTTACTTGAAAACGACGCGATTACTTTCCGAGGGACTAACCACACGAGATAAACGCGGTAGCAAATTATCAGTTAACAAAACAAACAAATTTAATTATGTGAGTGGTTATTCATCATATGTAAAAAAAATGGTTATAGAGCACAAATAATAATATTCCGTAGAACAAATGGGTACATGTAAAAAGAACTTGAAAAGTAAAAGACAGACACTTAACACGGAGTCATAGCTCAAGCGGTTAGTCGCTGGCTTCCCACCGCGGCGGCCCGGGTTCGATCTCGGGTCTTGTCAAGTGAGATTTGTGGTGGACAAAGTGGCGCTGGGGCAGGTTTTCTCCGAGTACTTCGGTTTCCCCTGCCAATCTTCATTCCACCAATTGCTCCACAATCACCCTCACCTATCATCTGGGGCTGGTACAATAGGCCGGAAGTGGCAGGAGTGCAAGGGTGTTAGTCCCACCCCACTAGAAATAAAAAATAATAGCACAGAGATGTACAAGGCAATAGCACGACCGGTTCTTTCACACGGATCAAATACAGAAAAATAATAGAAAAAATTCAAGCTGTTGAAAAATGTTTTCAGAGACCATAAATAGGCGTTACACTCCGAGATCCAAGAGCAGAGATATTAGAGAGAGAGTTTCGGCGACTGCACTAATACATTGTGTAAATATGTTTAAAGAAATGTAAGAAATACGCAGTATCCGAAACAGAGTGTTGAATTGTGGCCCATAAGAAAAAGATTAAAACGGTCCCTGTGCTTAACTAATTAAGCACTACGACATGAAGGTGTATGGGGGAGTGGTTGTATAAATCCACATTTTCTTGACTTCAGCACTAGTTGGAGTTGAGGGGTCAGCTTCACGCCCCGGCCGCTTTACCCCCGCGGAAAGAGCCCCCAGTACCCATTGAATAGGAGGCTGGTTGGGCCCCAGGTTAGATCTGGACGACTTGGAGAAGAGAGAATTCTTGACCCTACCTGGACTCTAACTACGACCCCTCGGACGTCCAGCCCCTAACCAGTCGCTATACCGACTACGCTATCTCGGCTCTATAAGGAAAAATGAATATTAGAATACAGAAAGATGGATTGATCAACGAAGACCAAAATGCGGCTGGAATCAGCGGCCAGCGGGATCATTTTTAAGTTTTCATAATTGTTGTTCCTGTTACTGCTGCTGGTAATGATGATAATGGCGTGATAGAATCTTTCAGGTTCCTTTTAGGCATAAACGTAAAACACGTTTGTTTAGCGGTGAAGTGCTAATCGGGAGGTACTCAGTTTGCATCAACCAAATTACGTGTACTTGCTATTCTGAAGCAGTGTCCTTGACGTTTTCTTCATTCTTTCCAGAAGAATACCAGGATAGTTCATCCGAATATGTCACGGCCGCCTCCTTCCGAACCTTTCTCTCTTCACCTCTCAAGTTCATGTTGGCATCTCAATCGATATCACGTAAATTCTGCGTCTGGTGACGTATTTGTTAAGCACTGTTCTAAGAATCTATCGAAATATATTGTTTATTTTGTAGGTTTACGTAATATCAAATAAGGGGAAATTTAGTTTTGATCGCCTTAACTGTTATTTGTATACTTAGGACTATTTTCGACTGTTGAAATAGCATAGCGTCGGACGGGATTGCTGACGAGTGTAGGTAAAATGTAAAGGTATCCTTGTACAAGGTCATGGAGGCCCATAGGGTTGTGAGACGTTTAAGGTCCGATATTTTCTATACAATCGGCTCACAGATGGCAGTGAGGTTGTCAGCCTTACGTGCCGGCCACCCTTTACCCCCCATGAATATTCCTGGTACTCAGGGTCATAGTGCGGCTGGAAAGATTAGGCCAGTTGAAAAAACAAACACCTCATCGGGGCTCGAACCCGCGACCTTCCTGCTTGTACCATAGTGCCTCGGCTAACTACGCTACCGCGTGCCCCGACGAATGTAGGAGGAAGCATATTTATGGTTCTATCCCACAATTTGTACGAAGAGACTCGAAAGATACAAGGAAACTTCTCGCAGAAATAAACCGGACCCTGTGCTGAATGCGTCACTCTTGGCCGCACGGTCCTCAACTGTAATGCCACTACACAAATAGGTGAACTGAGCCGATTATTGGCAAGGGGCTGCATGAATGCATTTATCTTCGTTCACAATCAAATTTGTCATGAACAGTGCTGATCGCCGGAAATGACGTAGCAGTTACAAACATAGAGAAAACGCACTACATGCAGGGAGCCGGTGTAGCGCAGTCAGTATAGGTACTGGCTACGGGCTGGGTGACCGAAAGGTCGGAGTTCGAGTCCCGGTAGCGTCAGAAATTTCCTTATTTTCTCTTCCCCACATTGTCCACACCAGCTCTGAAACCCACCCAACCTCCTATCCAAAGGGTACCGGGGACCATTTCCCCGGTGACAACGCGGCCGGGGCGTGAACCTGACCACTCAGCTCCAAATTGTGTCGAAGTAAACAAAATTTGGATTTATACATCCACTCCCCTTATGCCTTCGTGGTATAGTGCTTAATTACTTAATACTAGGGACAACTTTACCTTTTTTACCTTTGACACTACATGTTAGAGAAAGTATAATGTTATTATAAGACGAGTGATATGTGGTTTGCAA